ATTCGTTCATATGCGAATCCACGAAAGCGGAGCCCACCGCATTATCGACACTCCAAACGCATCCTATCTCATAACCACCACTAACAACCCCCATTCGCCAGCACGATCACGGCTAATAGCTCTACCAACCCAACCGATTCCACAGCCCCGAACCTATCCGGTCCCCACTGCCACGGCACATTCACGTCACGCGTCGGCCCGATCGGTTACTTGTGGACCCGTGGGACAGAGACTGGCGGACCGGTGCCAGGAGCACCAACACATGCCCACCGAACCCACTCCAATTGCCCACACACGTTCACTCATCTCCTGAGCCTATTAGGCCACATGCGTCTCCATTAAAACCTGTGGTAGGCGATCGCCAGCTATAGCATACTACCACATCTCTCCTCACCGGCACCTGCGACACACATGACCACACCCAACATCGCACAATGCACGTTAGTGGAAAGTGTGTTCCTCGGCTCCTTCTCCACGTGCTTCCTCTGTTGGATGTGAGATCCGAGCCTGAGGCTATCACGGTGCGCTAAACTTCGTCGCCAGATAGGTTGTTAGCTGACGATGGAAGTTAGACCTCGCAGTCAGCCCAGTTGGTGTTTATATGGAGTGATCGACTGGCAGACTGAGTTAGGCAGCAATAACCTCTTCTTAATGTGGCCTTTATGGCGCTCCTACTCCGTGAGATCCGAGCTTCCCCTTGTTTGTTGTTGCATAAAATCCTGGTCAGTGTCCGTTGTGGACCAGAGGGTGGTGGTACGCCTAGGTACGGGCTTTCGCCGCGCCAGTCGTCTGCGCCCTCTTCCGCCCCCGGTGCTATTGACTCTGCTGTGACGCCGGGTCCAGATGAGGGAGGAGAGAGTGCGATATATGCAGTGCAAGCCCACCACCACTACAAACTAAATCACTCGCAAGTCCACGCCCCCCCTTTCATTTCGCTGTCGAACACGCGGTGAACATCGTCGAAATCGACAGTCGAACTGTCATGATAACGTGGGAGGGGTTGGTGCATGACACACAGACTGTGCCTATCGCCAAAACGTTCTCCCACCGTACGCACAGACTCAACACAAAAGTAGGAACACATAGTAGACTGCTAGCGAGGGTTTCACATTTAACTCCAGAGCGCAGCAATACAAGAAATTTCTGTACTATGCAGGAGAAGAGTATCAATAAAGACATAGGAGACTGGAATGGCCATTCTGGCGTATTAGACATCACCAGACAACCTTACCCAACTACAGGTCTGAATGGCCTGTGACTCGAACTCGGGCTCTTTATTCATCGAACGTTAAGTAGATCAGCACTCGAGCCACGAATTCGTTGCCCCGTCGGTTGCGATCGGGATCATTCAGTATCGTGGGATGGGCATTCACTGATCAAGTTACGAGGAGCGCTCATTTTGCTACGCCTTAGGGCTCAATCTAGAGGTCCTGTGGGCAGTCGCATAGCCAGCCGTGATATGTGAGGAAGAACTAACAACAAAGAGAGGGGAGACTCGGATGCCCGTTTCCGACTTATTAACCGTCGCCCGCCAGTCACACTCACCCCCCTCCCCGGTTTGGATGGCCTTGGACTCCAGGTCAATGATGTGTCCCCCTCACGTTAGTCAATAGTTCCGACCGCAGCTGACGAGACAACAGGCCCATGGTTGGATGGCGAAACGCTGAACTAAACGTTAAATGACCAGGGTCCGGGTTCGAACTGCAGGTTAGTCAAACTTGGGATTAGTGTATGGTTGACAGACTATTGCGTAAACACGCGCACAGCAGGTCCGTTATTTACTTTTGACATGGCTCCACAGAAATGTCTGAAAGACGTCCTTATCAATTGAGTATGAGCGGATGGGAGCGATTGCCGTACAATCAAAGTGTTGTTGCTGTTTTCGTGTATATCTAATTTGTGGCGTGCTTAGAACTGAAGAAATTAGGCCTATTGTTTGTTGACAAAAAAGGCTTTTGGAATGTGGATAACGCAATGGGAGAGGCGGAATCTCAGCTGGACGACGTGCAAAGATAGGTTGCTACTAAGGACAATAAGAACAAATTCGTCTGGTCCCATGTCTACACCACACACCGTCGGTTTTTGGGAGTGTTGTGGGCATTGAGACGTCGTCTGAACAAAAGGAGCATATGACCAGAGTGTCATATTCATGTTCTACTTCTGGGAAAAACCCACATAGAGATCAGAGTGATGTTGGCCATGAGATGGGTCCTTTTCAGGGGTCCAATTATTTGGACTGACATAAAAATTCTCCTCTCGTCACCGGGCAGGGAGACTTTATGTTAGGACGAATAAGTCATCTACAAAGCACCCCACACGTCTTACCTAAATGATGCTAGTTCTGCCCATACGTGGCGTGCTACCTGAATGAATGGTAAGGCCGACTTGGTTATCTTAAATAGAAGTCAGACTGGTGGATATTGTAGTGTTCAGAAACACATTATTATGAACAGTTGATGAATCAATGGCTATTACAGGAGGATAATATTGGGTTTCGCCATTCTTTCGCAACAGAGCATTTCACAATTATACATACTCGAAATTCTTCCCCCCCCCCCGGCCAGCTTGTTCGCCAGGCTCGGACCCAACTTAAATTATCAAGTACTAGACTGGATGAAAAGCGGAGGAGGCGGATGACTTGCGTAATCTCCAAAAGCCTAGGGGAAACATTGGACATTAATCCTGATTACGATGAGGGGTTTATAAGCAAGATATGCCGGGTGAGAAGTGCTACAAGGAAAAAATAATACGTGGTTTTCTAATTTGCAGGGGGGGGTTCAACCTTGTGTGCAGGTGGCTCATCAATCGCTTCAGGTTGATTAGGAATAAGAGGCAGATGAGAGACAGAAAAATACCAAGTTCGTAGGTGATAAAAACGCAAAATTTAAACGATGTATATAAGGCCAACTAACATCAAAGAGTAAAACCGAACCAACGTAACTGACTGAAGGAGTCATACTACAGTACGAAAAGTGCACCTTCTAGATGCCTCTTGGTAACCTTAAAAGCGAAGTGGTGTTGGTACGTTGCAGCAGGGTGACTAAAGCCGAAAATGAGGTTCGAAACCCAGGGAAGTTCCATAAACGGTAATGCGAAAGATGACTCAATTCCCCAGCAAACAGTTCGCCCTTGCGAAACCTTCCATGTCCTCAGAGTGCATTGTCGGAAACAATAAACCCGAGAAGATCCAATTTTCATGACAGTTCGATCGTTGTTACCGACGATGCCCACCGTGTGCCCCACAGCAGGGTAAGCGCAGGGATGGTAACTTAGGAGTGAACTAGTTAATGGTGATAGTAGAACCGCGCTGCGTCTGCCGAACTCTCTCTCCCCCCACCCTTCTGGGGTTGATGTCAAGAGCCAAAAGACTGGAGGCGGGATCGAGCACGGAAGGCTGGCGCGGTGAGAACCTGCGCTTAGGTCTACCACCACATCCCACTTATAGCACATGTTATGGATGCGCAGCCCAATAACGCTTATCGGATCCTGATCTGGTCCTGTGTCAGTCCAGCGCAACTCCCGCGTCGAACATTTTGGCGGGCATGCCTGACACCCACAAGACTAAAAACACGAACTTAAGAGTCCGAACTAGTAGTTCAGCGCCCTTGTAACTTAAAAAGGGCCCTACTCGTATCACCGTCTACTCTCCAGTCTAACGGGTGACCCGAGGCCAACTAGGCAGTTAGAGGAGCCAGCATCTCCAGACTTTGTACATATCTGCTTCAGGAATACTGTTTGCCTTTCAAGCGGGTTTCCTCTATCCTTACGGAGGCTTCAGTGTTCGTGATTTCGCCAACTGCCAAGTGCTCAACTCAATCCCCTGCATTCCATAGTTGATTTCCGGCTTAATGTACATGTAACGCTGGGAAAGGTCCTTTAATATTCGATGGTATGCGGACGTCAGGGTAGTTTCGAGCTTCAGCCCGAGCTATGAGACTCGCGACGAACGATTATAGCAAGCAATTCCGCTGTGTTACAGACTGACTCATCGTTTTGCAATCGGAACTAGTTCGTATTTCCCCTTGACGATCGCAAAACTGGTATAGGGGCAAACGACGTCACTAACGAAGACATTCACCTCCGGACAAGACACACAGGCCTTTACCTGACAGGATTGTGAGATGTGGTCATGAAGAGCAGTACTTATCTAGGTAAAATAATGGTTTTGGAGAAATCGGCAGACCGGGTAAGCGTGGCTAACGTTAAGAGCAATGGATGCATCTAATTCTGAAATATGCGAAAAATTGATAGTCCAGATACGCTACACTTGTGGCAGGGTGGCTGCACTTTCAGATATAAAGGCTGATCTTTGTTAAAGTAGTAAGACTTCTGTATAGAACCGACAAATACGCCATCGACTCCACAATGTCTAACTCCAGTCTAGCCCTCATCTAGAATTCTATGCGCAATACATCCAATGCACTCTACAACCGTATGTAAGGGTCTGAATCGGGACGGACACCAGCAGGATCGCTTGACATGACAAGTGCGTCTTAACTACGTTTAGTATTTAAGGAAATGAAAAGAGGAGAAAATTACTCACCAGGGATTCGGTGATAAGATAAAGTAAATTGTGCAATATGATTAAACGGCTTAGATTAAAAAGGATTCATGGCAATTCAACGTGCAGTGTTTCTGTCATGAGGCTTTGACAATAGCCGGGAAGGAAGTAGGTGAAGTTCTAGAAGATGCCACTAACCGTACACGTGGCTGTCTTGCAGCATCGACAATAAACGGGTGATTAGAAAGGCGTGCGAAATTCGGTCGACATTCTGGTTTCTTATGAAGACAAAGCATCAGAAAGTCTTTAGCTTTGTAAGAGAGATGGGTATGCTCCGGATAACAGGGTGCCTTACGGTGACAAGTATAAGGGTCGGCGAAGGGAAAATGCTTGTAAAGCAGGACAAATGCTGTGCTTCCAAGTGACCAGACTTCGCTTGCTGGCGTCCATGGGCGTTTTAGGAGGAGAACTTCTGGAGGGGCGTACTCTGGTGTACAACCTACATTCTTTTGAGGAAGTTCTGTGGGAATTAATTCCATTGAAAAATTGAAGTCAATAAGCTTCACCTTCCTCTCATCCTTGTTGACAAATATGTTGTCCGGCTTAATGTCACAGTGCACGATGTTCAGGTCATGCAGTTCCCTAAGGGTATGGATTGTCTCTCTCATAATCCAAGAGACGGCGGACTCGTTGATCCACTCTTCGTCCGACAACAATTCACTCGCTAAATTGGTGTATCCCTGGTCATGTAAATCTTCCAAAACAATCACGAATCTTTTCATTTGTTCATCCTCGAAACATTCCACCATCCGTACGCATCCCTGAACCTCCCTTGTCTTCTGTAGAATGTAGGCCTCGATGGGCATCCGGTGGTCGTTTTTAGACAGCACAAACAGGTCGCTCTCCTTGTGTTGCAGGTCATAATACTTCAGAACACACTTTTTTGAATCGAGCTTTCGATAGGCGTTGACAACAGTCGTAAGATACCCCTGTGCGACCGTCTCGAGCACAACGTACGAAGACAGACTCATCAAGTCGTAGCCCCAGATTCGGAGTCACGATATTGGCTATTTATATTAAAAGTGCAATCAAACAAGCACTGACCTTCAGTAGCACAAACAATTAGGGAAAAGAGTGTGGGATGTATTCGAAACCGAATTATTCTAAAATATTGCAATGATTTCCTGCTAGAACATCTACAATGTTGGAGCCGTAGTTAAGGTGTGGGAGCTCAGCAGAAAGTTAGGAATGGATGATAACAGGTAGCGCATTCTCTACCTCTAGTACTGGTGACCGCAGTCACCAAAGGTATCAGGAAAGAAATTAAAAATCAAACTAACAGAACATTTGCGAGCTGAGGATGGAAAAATGGATTAAGAAGTGCATTTAAGCCAGCCGTACATAGAAAAAACGATGGAGAACAAGCATAGTTGTCAAAATGCAAAAACAGACAATGGCATGTATCAAGAGTATAATAGTTAGCAGCGCTCCGACTGAAGCCTGCCAAACCGCATGGCCCGGGTAGAATTCACGCAGTAGCATTTCGAAAGCTTGCTAACGAACTGCGCGAGCCACTGTTGTTAGTATTATAAAAGTCACTTGAAGAAGGCGGCTTCCATTAGAGTGGAAGCGCACATTCATCACCCCGATCCATAAAAAAGGTTCACGCTGCGTCACACAACTGTGTCACCCAGCGGCAGAATATCGGCGAAACACGTGTCTGGGCTTTTAGCAAGTATCTACGTCGGGAGTACGGTATAATACCTTTACTATATGGATTTCATACTACTCGTAGTACTACTTGTTTGTAGAATGGGCATTACGTGGTTATTCCACAGTAGTTGATTGTCTTCGACTCAAATGTTTATTGAAATTTCGGTCCTGAGTACGGTAAGAAACATTCACTAGTAAATCACAATCAAAGCTGTTAAAATAATACTGAAGCTTGTATCATATTGTTATTTTGAATGTGACATTATAGGAATAGTGGTCTTCTTTCTACTATGATCTAATATAGTTGTTTAATATGGCCTTAATATAGACTTACGCACAACTCATATGCAGGCTTTTATCAAAGGGATGTTATTATTAACTTCCTAAGGGATATTTATTGTCGGATGAAATAGCTGATGGAAACGGCAAAGGGAGGAAAGAAAGAATATCACTATCCGTTCTATTTTTATCAATGATTCTGTCTTTCATGAATTTGATTCTTTTAAGTGCCATGTTTCGTTATTATTCAATCGACTGGCATCATCAGAGCCCTTTTGGATCGAATTCCATATCAAAGAATTGACTTGATAAATGTCCTATCTTATTCAAAAATAAATGTGCATTGTTATTTGAAAGGAATTTCTTAGTTTTTATTTTAAACTCGATTAGGGTTCGACTTTTCCGGATAGAACTTGGAAGAGCATTCCAGATAGTGCCATAGCTTATGGTGTAGAAATTTGGCCGTTGGGACTTTGTGAATTTGGGGATCCTTGTAATTCTTCGTTATTTCTGGTGTTTCTGGGGGCGCTTTGGTTTGTTAGTAAATCCATTTTGAAAATATCTTGTTCATGGGTGACCTTGACTAGGAAGTTTAGACCACTTTGGAGTCTTCTGAGCCAGAGTGGTCGAAAATCATATTTATGATATAGTTCTAAGTATGAACCCTGAGTGCCATCGCTTCTGGACAAAGATTAAGTAAAGCGTCTCTGAATGCCTTTTAGTTTCTTTCGGCCGTCTGCGGGCATTATGCCGAAGAAAATTGAGCAGTAATCTAGGAGAGGTAAAACGTACATTTTGAAAAGTTGTATTCTTAGTGCATTTAAGGTGAAATTTTTGCATATGAATACACACAGGCGAGTGGCTTTCGGGGATATTTTTGGACGTGGGGAGATAAATCAAGGATATTTGTATAGTTGAGACCTTAATCTTTTATCGATTGGATCTCCGTCATTTCATTATCCTCGAATATTATGGGGGAAGTTTTTGTGGGCCAAAGATCAGGAGATGGCATTTTTCAGGTGAAAAGGGCTCTGCCAGTAACTACTCCATTCGCTGAGTTTTCTGAGATCAGTTTCAATTGTTCTATGAATATTGGTTACTGTATTCCCGTTATATGCATATGCAAGTTTCAGGTCGTCCGCATATAAAAACGTCTTAGCTGAGACAGATATGGACGATAAGTCGTGAATATATATAAGAAATAGAAGGGGGCCTAGGACAGTGCCTGGAAGTACTCCACTTGTAATTGGGGATGGTTCTGAGACTACTTTTCGAATTTGCACCACCTGGTATCGGTTTTGAAGATAGGATTTAAGAAAATCAAGAAGGGGTGGCCTAATTTCATGACTTTCAAAGGTCATTTTTAGATCGAAGTATATTGAAGATTCTGTGTTTCCATCATCTCTATTGCTGGAAACGAATTCCAAAAAAGTAAGGTGGCCGGACTGATATGACGTTCCAGGTAAAAATGCATGTTGGGAGAGGGGAATTAGGTTGGCGTTCATGAGATGGTCCAGCAATAGGTTGTAGACTATTTTCTCGAAGATTTTAGCTACAGCCGGTGTTCGGTGAACACCACGATATTTTTGGGTATGAGATCGGTTGCCGCTTTTAAACAGAATTGCCATGGTCGAGTATTTTCACGTGTCCGGAAGAATTGCATTTGAATGAATAGGGTGAATAATTTGGATAGGAGTAGTGGAACATATGTCATATGCCTCAGAATACATGGTGGGATTTTATCCGTCCCATAGGAGTTGACGTTGGATAGTTGTTTGATGGCTACTTTAACAGTTTATTCACTAAAACGGATCTCACTAAGGATGCGTTCTGTCATCTCGGTTGGTTGTTAGGTCCCCTGCCAACACCTGGCCGCACCTTGTCGGTGTGGCCAGGTGTGGCCAAGCGCGGCCATGGTCACGCCAAATTTGAAGAAATTTTGGAGGATCTCCCAATCGTGTAGGTGACCACTTCTGCATTGCAAAGTGCTAAATTAGTCAATATATATCCTATATCACTCATAAAGTACCACGAATCTTCATATTGTGAGCAGTGGTTATGTCCCGCAATCAGCTGATTAAGGTGCTTTGTTTAAGTGGGCCAATGCGACGCCATTAATATTTTGCTGTGTCTGGGGTAAGCGTTGCGGTTCTCTCGTCCTGTGATTGTTTATGACATACTAACAAGTAATTCGGCGTCCATTTTGTGTCTGGTACATCTTTATTTTCCAAGTTATACCATTTAGGGTATTCGTTATGTTTTTTAAGGTGTAGTAACATATGTATTAGTATAATTGCACTTATGATTTTGCGAACAATGTTGAAAGTACAAATATTTGTTGTCTTTGAGTAGTTATTCGTTGCAATGAAGGGTAAGTATTACGGCTTTCACCGAAGCACTATATACAAACGGCTCTTGCGCCAGAGGCGGGCATATTATGCTGCTATGGAGGAGCAACCCATCGCATCAACGTCTTTGGTTGCAAATGAGTCACCGGAATTGCAAATGCCCGAACTAATACCGGAAGTTTCAACGGGTAGGAGTTGTATGAGCCTTATTTACTGGAATACATAGAACTGTCTGTAGTGGCTGGGACCGTGGACACAGTGGAAGGCAGATGCTTGACGACGGATTTGCGCGAATTCTGTTTGAGGGCGAAATTGTCGTTGACCACAGCAAGGGATTTGTTTCAGGTGCTGCGGCACTATCATCCGGAGCTACCCATCGACCCAAGGACGCTACTGCAGACGCCTCGGACTTGCGTTAGCAAGTCCCTGAAGAGATGAAAATACGTTCGCCTGGGTCTCGAACGCGGCCTACTCGACGAATTGCGCCTTTGCCCACCAACAGGCATTTCTGAAGTGCACGTTCAACTGCACATTGACGGAATGAAAGTCTTTAAAGCGTCTGCTCAGTATGAAATTGGAAGAAGACGTGATTTTCCACGGAATAAGTAGAAGAATAAATATTTTTATGCATGTTTTCCACGAAATATAATGGAATTTTCAAGGGCATCGAAAATCAATGAGAAAATTGCATACTACTGAAGTAGTCATTTTTTGCAGAGTATAGATTTCGCATGCAGCCGAAGATAAGTTCTTTCGAAAGCCGACACCCTGGAGTAACTGGATCATTATAGATTTATGCTGCATCATGATTCGTTTTACAACACTACTTAATTTATCTCTTTGAAACGAGAACGCATTTCGAAATAGTGGTTGACATTTCATGAGTTAGCACATCTACTGTAAAATCGTACGTATTCGATACAGTGTTTAATTACTTTCGTTGCGCCTGCATTACGTATGTCTTACGAAAGTTTTTTTTATGCAGCACTTATCAATGGCCAGTGGAAGTGACTTCTCATTCTGGATACGAAGGTCGCTGAAACCCCCCTGATCCAAGACGGACTTTGTACATTTACATTTTTTGACTTACGTATTCAATAAATCGTCCTTCCGCAATACCGTCTTCCGACTTTACCATCTTCGGGACGTGGAGGTTCGCTGTGACTCGTTTCGGGGTTTTACGTTAGGCGACCGTTCGTCATGGTTGGCGTTTTCGGCCAAAAAATCGAGGCCGCGATGAATGGAAAAAAACGAGAAAAAGCCCGCGCGCAAAATTTTTTCCAAGGTGCGGCCAAGTCCGGCCAATGTGTTGATGGCCAGACCACAGCCACACCATTCGGCCACACCTGGCCGCAGCATAGCCGCACTTGGCCACACCATATTTGCCTCGGCCAAGTGCGGCGAAGTGCGGCTGGTGCTGGCAGGGTCCTTACCTCCTCGACTGTGAAGTTAGCTGAGAAATATCTGTTGAATGAGTTTGCTATTTGGTTGTTATTTTTTATATCTTGTCTGGATTCATTAATAATAGTTCGTGGTCTTCACTGTCGATGAGTACTTATTTGTTTCTGAAAAGTCTGAGCTGTTCGTTCGGGGATTCTAGTTCCCGATGTTCTGCTGCTATGGTCTTTCGTGTTTCCATTTTCTTAACTAGGTCGTGCATTTATCTGATTCATCGAAGTGTAGATAAATAA